TTTTGAGAAATTTAGCCATGGATTAAGTGCAAAACTATTCTATACAAAATACTCTCGTAGAGATGTTAGCCAAATCTTGTTTGAAGTCACATGTTTTTGGAGGAACTCAGGGTCTTTCAATAATTTTTAACGTAATTCATCAACATACAAATTTAAATACAGTCTAATATCTAATTTATTAGCACTTATAGTCAACTGATGAAGGAGTTGTAGCACTTCGCACTTCTTTTTGTTGGCTGATATCTATATAGAAATATTATACTATCATAATAGATAAAAATTACTAGATAATAAAGAGTTTGTAAGATTAGTCAGTAGATGTTCTTATTATTTCAATAAAACACTCCGAAATACTTATTTCATATTATTAAATCCTTACTTTCGAACACACAATTTTCAGCAAAAATAAATGACTCCCTCTCTGACCTGCAGCCTATCACTGCCGGTGTACTCCAAGGCTCCAAGCTGTCACCTATATTATTTAACATTTGTATACATGATATCCCACAGTCACCAAGTACCAACATTGCCCTTTTCGCAGATGACACGACTATTTATAGTGAGTCGCGTAATATAGAAGCGGTAACTCATAACCGACAAAACCACTTAAATGTATTATCAGCATGGTGGCAGATTCAAATAAACACGTCAAAAAGTACGGCCATCACTTTCAGCCTCCCTCGCTACTTCACTGCCCTAAAATTCGATAACGTGCTCATACCTTGGAAACCGTCTGTCAAATACCTCAGAGTCACTCTTGATAAGAGATTGACGTGGGGGCCACACTTATCAACAAAACTACAACTATAGCATATCAACGACTATATATGCCATTTCCAATAATCAATAAGAAATCAGTCATTCAAAAAAAAAAGGTTCAATCCTAATATATAAGCAACTTCTACTGCCATTAATTACGTCTTATGTTTGCCCAGTATGGGGGAACTGTTCAGCTACACACTTAAAAAAATCCAAATATTCCAAAATAAAGTGCTAAGAATTATTACAAATGCTCAGTGGTTCATACCTAATGAAAATATTCATAAAGACCTACAAATTGTTAAAACCGTAGACCTTAAACGCACACTATCAAAATTCCATAATTCTCAGCAGGCTCACTTCACTACAATCTCCATATTCATCCATCACTCTAACGACGAAAAAAACGCGACCGCCCTCACGACTTCATTAGTCAAAATCAACCTCCAGTCTAATCTGTATTTTTTAACTTTTGTTAATAATTTTCGATTTTAGTATCTGAAATCATTTTTTAATTATTTAATATTTAGTTAATTAATTGTACATACATCTATCCATATTTTTTATATGTATAATTATCCTTTTAAAATAGCTACAAACTAATATTGTTCTCTAATATCCATAGATATAGATAACATACGGCTAGGAATGTCTTATATTATTAATAAAAAAAAATATATATTATTACTTAAGTTACGGTTAAGTTTACTGTAAGTTAAGGTCATGAATGCCTTCACCTCTACTAAAACTGGTACTAGGGTCTAGGACTAGTAGAACTTGATTCTATCTTGCGTTTCTTTTGCAAAAAATGTCTTATGTCACTCATTTTATTTAATAATTGTACAACGTAACTGTCGTAACTCGTAAGAACTAAAATATATAATATGACGTATTCGGTATTAAGCACGTAGCCTGTTGAAAAATACACACACGGCACACGACTAATTATGATTCAGATTATTTCGTATGTTGTCAATATAAAGGACATGTCAGTTTTCACAAGTAAATTCAATATATAAATCGGTCACTTTGATAGTTTCATCGCATGCGATAAGCTTACGAGTCATTGCATTTTTTAAGATATTTTTATTGAGTGACGAAAATGTTTTTATTAAAATAAATAGTCAATATTATAGGAGGTAATTATTTCACTCTCATCCCTTAAAGTTATTAAAAATAAACCTTAATGCTAGAAGTAAATGGTAAGTGAAAGTTATAAAAAAACATAATTGTGTATTTGTGTGTCGCTTAGTCCTCAAAAATACAGTCAACAAGGTGACAAAATATTTTCACTACGCGACATTAGTGTCACCTAGTTCACCGGCTTAAAAAAAGCACTCTTACCTACGAGTTGTCGATAATTATCGGATTTTCTAATCGTAGCCAATAGCCCGCATTACTTTATAGCCATTGAAAAAAAACAAAAATAACTTTGTATCGTTATATAATTTGAAAAAATATTTCTACGTATTTAACTAAAATAATTTATTATAACATAATGTAGAAAACAGCGTACACTACGCACGAATGCCGAATGCATATTATAATTATACCAGGTAAATTTGGAGCAAGTGGGCTGTCGGAAAAAAACATACCTTTTTTATTTTGGCGCAAATGAGTAACACCCCAAAAATCCAGAATTTAATTGAATTAAACGAATTGCATGGCTCTCAACAATTATTATTATAATAACTCCACGGAACGAAACGTCCAATCTCAATAATTACAGGGACTGGTTTTTTTTGACGTGGACGAGACGGTGGGGGCAAATTGTCCCTTTCCCGTTTTAAATTTTAAGCGGAGCGATGAATGTATTGATTTTACTATAATGTGTGTTTTTATATTTATTTATTTATTTATTTTTGTATCACAGTTTCTTGCAGTAAAAGTGCTTCGATTTTCTTCAATAGCGACTTTTCTGGTAGGAAAGTGTATCTAGTTGGTGCATTTGGAAAGTCAAAATTTAGAATAGTTTTCAAAAGCAACAGGGTAAACAAACGAAAAATTAAGGGAAAACGGGAATTTTTAAGCAAAACCATTTTTTTGGTTCGAAAAATTGATTTTGGTTTATGCGTGTTACTCTAACAAAAATGACCGTATAGATACATGAAATTTTGAATAAATATATGTGTAATCATTTTCTATACACCATACAATTTTAAAAATATTTTGATGAGTGTTGAACTATTTATAGGCATATGAAATTTTTGATTATTATTTGTTTTTTTAACCCAAGTCGATAAAAAAATTTTCGCTGTGTCAAAAAACTTGAAAATATAATACAAGGTTAATTGTAAGTTTTTGTTAATGAAAATTAAAAGAAAAGTTGAGAGTAAATGCACCATATTTTTTTATGATTGTTTAAACATAGAATTTTGACAAAATTCGTAAAAATCACTAAAATTATCAAATTATATTTAGTTAGAAATTCATTAAATGCTTTTTATTTATATCTAAGATTTATAAATTTAATACAAGATTCCTCACAAGTTTGTATACCTTTATTAGAAAAACAATATCTCCCAGAAAGTCAAATTAAATTTTTATGAGCGTTTGAAGTTGAAATTTTTACAACATTGGCTATTCACTCGATTTCTCTTGTAGCGATTTTCTTATTTTGTTGCAATTAAAAAACGAATTACTGTAAAAACTTCAAATTTATACCAAATGTTTATTTTGCCAATTCGTATACTTGATAAAATTTTCAAAATATTTTGATTCATTTTAAGCTGTTGACGAACATTTTCAATTTTCATTTTTTTTTTATAAATGTCAATAAAATATAGTTGGTCGGGTCAAATAGCATGAATATTTAATACAAGACTCTTGACAACTTGTTACAATAGCAGTTGAAAATATATTTAAAAAAATACGCACTTATAAGCTTTTAATGTTCAAATTTTGACAATATTTATCAAATTTAAAATTGAAAATTATTCTGAAGTTAAAAATGAATAAAATTTTAAAAAGCTAAGGATTGAAAATTTAAAACAAGGTACCAGTTTTTTTTTGTAACTAAGACATATGTATAAAAATATATGAATACAGTTATTTTTTACAGACATTTTAAGTTCAAATTTGGACAAAATGACATATTAACACAACGAACAACGTTTATCATTTTGTAATTCGGTTCCAAAACAGCCCTTTACATAATTATATTAAATATTTTTCCAGCATCACTGATAATTTAAGAATAATATTAATTCAACTTACCTGCTACCATATTAATAATAAATAATAACATTGATTTTATAAAATATATTATAAAATCAATGGTAATACCAATATAAAATATCCTAATCTAACATACCGTCTCCGTTCAGAATCGTTTTTCGTATACAATAATATGATTTGATAGCATTGAATTCAAATTTAATACCATCCGTTACAGCGACCTCTTAGGCACCTAATGTACAGCAGAGCGACATCCACAAACTCGCTTTTTTTCTATTCCTAGAAATGGCGAGCCCAAATCCTCTCTTTCTTCTCCCGTGATGTACTCTGCAACAATTAATAATTTGTTCATTATTTGACATAGGTCATATTTATTTATTGCATAGTAGCAAACACAACAGATATCTGTTACATCACAATTATTTATTTTTCGAAACTTAGGTAAATACATGTTTGCACAAATCATTAGTGTTGAAATTACAATCCAACTATAGGTTAAATCAGCGGTGTTTAAACTCAGAATAATAATAATTAACAAACCTATAGATATCTAAGATTAAGTTTTATTATTGCACGAATGTTGTATAATATAGTCAATAGATAATAGTAATTTTATTTTACTATGTAATAGATTAGATTGAAATTTGAAATTGGAACACCCTAATGAGCTGATAAACGCAGAACGGCACGGACACAAGCACGGTCTTAGAAGTTAGAAGATAATAATATACATCTTCTACTTAGATCATATGTATATGATCTAAGATCTTCTAAGACCGTGGACTCAAGCCTAAATCAGTAAATCATGATAAATTAAATAGATTTTTCAATTGTCAGTAATACACAGGTTTTGACATGTTTATACTTTGCGTCTTTGCTTCGTCAAGCGAGCGTCCGTATTCCGTAACGGCGTAACAAGATCTTTATTATCTATGTGTGTATTATACATCCGTGGTGTTATATTATCATTTTGTCCACGGTGTTGATAATATTATCTACAAGGTTGTTCAACATCCCAGACAACCTGTACGATGCAATCGCCAATCGGTCCATTTTCAAATTTTCAAAACATAATTCTATACTAAAAAAATATTAAATTGTAGAATAGCATATAACCGTCAATTTTAAAATGTAACGCTTGAAAACGTAAAGCTAATAACCTGTGTAGTTGATGGCTTGATGCTCAACCAAAAAAGAAAAAAATTTTATCTACATCGTGATTTTACCATAGACTCTATAATATAAATTATAGAGTCTATGGGTTAACGTGATATTTACAGATCTGCCCCCGATAACAGTTATAGCTGATAAGAAGAATGAAGTAGTCAGAAGCACGGGTTTAGACAACGGTTTGAAGTCTGTAGGAACTACGGAGCCAGGTTTGTGTATTTGAACAGAGCAGAACTTATGTAAACAGTATAATATTATTTTAATAATCTGTTCATTGTGAGAACTTGAACTTAAAAATAATACCAATGTTGGCGATAAGTTTCTTGACATACCTTCTTATTTGAAACAACTAATAGTTAATTTATGTTTGTGATAGATGCATTGTTTTTTATATCATGATACTACGAAAACCTACAAATTTTATCCAAATCAATTATCTGGTATAATATTTTGTACTTAATATTATTTTGGTTGTGATCATACAAGTTAAGTTCAAAGTAAAAATACACATTCACTATATATGGTAAGTGATGTACTAAATAAAATTAAACTCAACGCAGATATTATTTTTTGCATTGTAGAATTTACTATAAAAGTTTTTGTATGATATATTTCAGTATTTTATGTATTAAGAATTTAGTGTTGACCATGTACAAAAAGTATGATGCTGTCGTAAATATTTAGTGCTAAACAGTATAATTTTAAATTAAATTAAAAGGTCTCAATTAAAAACATAGTAAACGTGTCTCTTATTATTTATCTAATTACAATCCCTCAATTACATATGCATAAAAATCACAGAAAAACTTTTTATATTATTATATTATGTTCATTTTATGTACCTAATTAATTTTTTATTTCTTAATTTATATTAAATTTGTTTCAGATGTTGTGATGTGATTGGTTATCGCACATCAGGTTTGTGATAGTTTTGAAGGAATAATTTGCACTTTGGTGTTGTAACCAATCTGAAATGTTAAACACAATATTAAATACAAAAACATAGTGAATGACATAAATGAAGAACTTATTGGCTGATAGTGTAATTCTTCGAACTAATTCATCAGGTACGTAATTGGTAGATATTAGTATAGCATATTAGAATTAGAAATTGAGCGGGGTGTTCGGTAGACCAAAGAGAGACTTAAAATTAATTTATAATAGATTTGAAGAATTAATCATACCAGGCAGCAGATTTAATCCTGTTTTGCACTGATTTAAATTTTTTGTTGTAGTTTAAAGATTTGAAGTTGGACTTAGTAGATTTTGTGTATGAAACCAATTATTGTTAAATGCTCAATTTCTTTTCACTGTATTTTTACTTTTTTATACTATTTGGTAGGCCACCTTAAGATATAAATATTTTGACTTCATTGTTAATTCCTGGTTCACAACTCATCTTATTAATCAATTTTACTTTTGAATCCATTTAGTATTTCCTGCAATAAATTATTGGCAACTAATTTATAATTATTTATATTTATGTTTTTATTTAATAATTTTTCAAATTTGTTTAGTGTTTCAGTTATAGGTTAAATAACTACACAAATATGGATAGTCAAAATCAGCATTTGGTTGACCATAATTATAATTTTGAAGGAGTCAAGTTTCCATACCAAATAGTAGACCATGATTATGCCTTACCAGTCATTAATATAGATGATGATGAAGGTGTAGAAGATTTTCCTGATGAAGAAGATTTTCCTGATGAACAAGTCAATTTTGAAGAACCAACAGTATACCGAATTCTCCCCGGCGTTCAACGCAACACAAAAATATATGTTGATAATGCTGGTTATAAATATTATAAAAAAAAGTTTCTAATCAGTACAATTACATTAATATGTGAGCGACAGAGAAATCCAAGCCGCCCGATGTGTTATGGTACAGCAACAGTCAGTCGAGACGAGACAGATAATCGAATTACAATTATGACTCCTCATAATCATGAGCCTTTAGTAATTGACATGAATGTATCATTATTGAGAGATGCTCTCGGTGAAAGATGTCTTGATCCGGTTAGAACACAGTCTGTTCGGAGTATTTATAACAGTGAAATAACTAAGTAAATTGATTTTTATTTGATAATTTATATTTTGTATAGTTAGTAGGTGGTTATTAGGTTAACATTTTTTTTCTAAGTCATGATAAATTATGAATTTTTTAATTTTTTGTTTAAGTTTGGTTTGGTTTTTTAAAAGTAGATTTGACTTGAATTTAAACAAAACACCGAAGATAGGTTTGATTTGTTGAACTTTAAACAGTTTGACCCACCTCTACTTCTAATTGTTGTATTATTGCATTTAGCTAAGAGTATTTTATTTTAAACATTTTAATTCATTCAAGAATAATTTTATTGTTTTTTTTTAATTGAAAACTTTTCTTATGACACTGTCCGATACTATTAAATATCTTTTTATTTGTTATAATTTTGGTAGGCATCAAGATGCGGCTAAAAAGTACACATTTAAACAAACACAAGCAAGAGTAAAAAGAATGAGAAGATTACGACTACGGCGATTAGTAAGTTATATATTAATACGCATGTTACTGTGAAAGACAATAATTAGGAATGGGCGTTATTCAATGTTAAAGCTAGGGGGATCTCAGTCTCCCTAGAATTTTACCCTAGTTGCAGTTATGATGTCTTTGGATTGAAAATGTTGTCAACACCCACAATTATGTTAGAAAATGCTAAAAAACACATTTTGTACTAGAATTTTTTAGTTTTACCAGGAATGTAACCATTTCATTCGTAATTCTTTTTTTATTAAAAGACAATTGCTTTATTTCCTTCATTTATCTAATAGTATCTATCACCTTTTGTCATATTTACTATGGTTCATAATCTCAACATACTAACTGACAACCTTTGTATTGTTGAAATAATTTCCTTAGTATCATGCTGAATTGAGGGGGAATAGAGTTCCTCTTCTATTTCTTATTTAGCATGTTTTTATGTGTACTCTTAATTATATCCTAATCAATAAGACATTTAAATATTTCGGTACTCTCATTGTTTTTACACATTTACATCTCCCTTCTATTTTTTCCTAACCACTGTTTGATATAAAATAATTATGAGACTAGTTTAAATAATTATTACTTAAAATATTTATACTATGTTGTGTTTTTAATAGTTATTGTACCATCGCATGTGCCATTCTTATTGTTCAATATCACTAGAAGAGTAACTTTGGCATGAAAAATAATATGTTGTATAGTTGTTATGTAATTGTTTTTGTGTTGTAATTTAAAATTGTATTGTATGTATTTTTTTACAGGAATGCCAGGAATGCTGATTATTGTTAATAATTAGTTAGTAGAATTTCAACAGCTTATAAATGATCTCTCGGTAATTTCTTGGTTTTTTTTTTAACGTTATTTGTTTCAATTCTGATTGAGTAATATTATATCCAACTTTTATTTTATTAGATTAAAGATGGTACATGCAGATACGAACACGAATACTACCAGGTTGATTAGGGAATGTGTACCAACAGACTAATGGATGCAGTGATTTGTTAAAATTTCTGAGGAGAACTGGTCATCATAATGATGATCTTGTTCACCAAGTCCCCTCGAGTATGTTGTTTTATATGAATTACATATTAAATATTAATAGTTGCTATTAACTTCTTTAAAACAATTTATACTTGAATCTAATTTATCAATAAGATGGTGTGATTTTTTTCCACTACTTAATTTAATTGTAAATGTATTCTCATAAATTAAATTAATTTTGTTACCTAATCATTGTTTATTGGTCTATTATTGTTCAGTGTTATAATAAATTAACACAATGATTTACATTTTTTACCCAAGTCTTATACTCAGCATTGAATTTGATTATTTCCTAAATTCTAATTGTTGTCGTTTATTGAAATCAAACATGAAAAATTACAATTACATTCATACAATAATTGTCATACCTTCTTAAAGCTTCACACAGACTGCAGCTGTAAGAGTCCAGACAATTTACTGCCATTGTGGCGGCACCGCCAACATAGAAGAATTTTACCGCCATTACAGCAGTGAGTGGGGACCTTTAAACAGCTGCTTGTGTTGAAGGTGTTGAGTTCTTAAATTAGATATTGAATAATATAAAATATAACATTATGTAAATTACGATGATAGCCAACATAACTCATTCTACTGCAGAAATAACAAATTAATTTGATTAATTATTAAAAAATATTTATATTTAATATGTACTTAACACCATCTACCACTGAGAAAGAGTACTAATAACACACTACTTTGTATTAGAAAATCTAGGTGTTTATTGATTTTAATTTTAGTATTTTATAATTTAATTACTCATAAAAAACCTAGTAATGTCCAATTTCCTACAGAGATGAACAAATTGTTGGTATTCCTTTAGATTATTGGTTTAGCAAATATTAACATCTAATATTATTTATACTGCCATATAAGATACAAAGATATGTAATATGTAAAGTAGTATTTTCTATCCACGATTTGCCCATACAGCCCTTACCTCTTAAGTATTGCACCAACTGTTTTAGAATAAAAACTACTATGTTTCAAAGACAAATTTTCCTAGGCCAAATCCAGGTGAAGTGTCAAATAAATGACTGGTTGCAAACATTTACTGTATTCTAATTCAGGGGTCGGCAACCTTTTTTATGTCAAGGGTCAAAAAATAAATATACATTTTTCACGGCCCACAATTTGAATATACTTATTCTTTATCACTTATTCTCAACAAAAACGTACAGTCATATGCTCATATCAAATTTGGTGTATTTAAGTTCATAATTATTAGTATTAGGTTAGGTATATTAATTCTACATAGTGTCTAATATGGTAACAATGTTTTAATCCACTGTTTCCAGTCCACAGTATATAGGTAGTTTGTGGTTTTTATTTATTTTTTTTTTACTCCCGGCCTACGTACAATATTGGTATATGAGTTGCATACTTGCGTGCAAAGCTCGAGGGCCGCGCGTTGCCGACCACTGTTCTAATGGGGGAAACCCCCTCTAGATTTAAAGATTTTGTTTCATTTTCATTAATTAGTGTGCTCAACTATTTTTTTTTACTAATTCAAATGAACGTAAAACCACGATGTAAACCAAAGAGTTTTTTTATAAGCAAATGCAATGCATTTATAATATTTATAAACATTTTTAACGTATAATTTACGAAATTAAAACAAAAAAACAATTCTTATGTACAGACGTACAGTAAAATTTTAACGGATTTCAATATTTCATTACTCAATACTTCATATTAGGTTTTATCAAATATCCCACTCAATATAGACTGAAGTAGAGAAGTCATAAATAAAGGAAGTTATTATAGAATATCAAGCTGGATTCATTGGCAGCATGTAAATCTATGCTTGAGTTAGGACGTGCACCGAGTCCATTTTTCCTACCGCTAAATTAGGTAGGTATAATCAGGGCTCACTTACTGCTTAGTGCTTACTAATAGAAATGGGTCCCATGTATATTATACCATACATACATGGCATTACATGCATAAATACCATATATAAGCACCTAATACCTATAACAAGCAAAGTTATCTACTTAATTCTTACAGCAAGATGAAACTAGTAAGTAGTAACTACCAATTTTTTGAAACACTGTTCACCCGTGATAACAGTTAACTATGAGTGAACTTATGTGCATGTAAATAACTAAAACAAGTTCTATATAAAAAAAAAATAATAGAATGCAATAAAATACGTTCGTATAATAACATTCCGGTTCACTAATCAATTGTGATAATATTATTATGATGTTTCCACCTGATTGATTTATCTTTTTGAAATAAAGAAAAATATGTATCGTTATTCCTGAGAATTGTATTTACGTTCTATACTCTATACTCTATAGGGTTTGTCCTGTGTCGATACAAACTATTTTTTTTCAAATGAGAACTTATTAGTAATGGTTATTTATAAATTGTTATACATTTATACTAGGTATATTGACTGTGTACTAATTTCTAAGTCCTCATAATATTATCGCATTTAAGTGTAATATAATCGCAAGTATTATTTTAGGGACGAAATAAATAAATAAAAATATTATCGACCATAATTATTATTAATCCAAGCAATTTATAAATAACTTCATAATTTACTCTAAATAGAAACTGTCGGTGTATACGGTATACCCGAACGCAGCTTTGTCTAGTTCTTATCATAATATAAGGATTCTAAAGAAAAAATATTTGTTTTTTGACGAATACGCATTACTTTAATACGATTGAGCAAGTACACCAATAAAATATAAATGCAATATGCATTACCAGCATGACAAATTTAATTTGTCATGAATACCATTAACTATAGGTTAAGTTGTCCTTTATCTATGCACCGGTATCAATACACCTTGCCGCGCATATTATTTATTTCTTCCATGATATTTTTGATATTAACCGTTTATTTTCTGGTGATAATAATAATGTGATACAAATTATTAACCGTTTTTTGTTTTTGTATTGTGACTTGTGAGTTGTGACATTCTGTATTTCTACTGTTTATACTTACTTTTCTATGGTGTCTTGAGTACTGGACGTTCTGCTTCTGGTTACTTGTTATATCTTTCGGTTATTTTATATTGTGGAATATGAAAATATCAGTCTATACAAATTAGTAAGTACAAAGTATAAATTACTGTTAGATTTTTAAATTACAGAGTTTGGAGTTACAGACGTAGGTAACTCATATCAGTAAAAAATTCAAATGTACTATAACTTCATTTTCGATATTTATTGCGTATTTACTATTTGTGTTTATTTTAATTTTGTTCGAAAGGTAGTACAATTCATGTGTTCATAAATTATGAACCTATCTTGGAATGACTAAAGTTGTATTTTATAGTTTATAATCCCATAATTATGGAAATTGCATTATTTATAAACGATTTAAAGCATTATTACTGTCGTCATAATATACTTAATATGTTGTTATTTATAAAATACCTATTGAAAATGTAATATAATATGTTATAACTGTTACTATAATTTATAAAAATGGCATTAATTGTTTGTTTGTATTACTGTTAGATTAAAACACAAAATAATGAAGAAGGCATCTTTTGGAAGACGTTCGTCAGCAGCTGGGCGAAACACTTTTGGTACATTTGGACGGCAGAATTCATTTGATGGCAATGATATAAAGTATTTATTGATTCCATTAACATAACTATTTTACAATGCATTATTGTGAAGCAAGTTAGCAATGGAATTTTTAAAGCAACTAATTTATTTAAAAATAGATTGAGTCGTCGAGAAAGTCGTGGTATGGAAAAAAAATCTTTACTTTTGAAACCTGGATTCTCAGCAAAAAAAAGATCTGCATCATCAGACAATTTATCTGCACATGATCCAAAACAGTGGTCATCAACAGTGAAGAAACCAGCCAACCAACAGAGAAATACTTTAGTTCGTGCAACTACATCCATGAATATTACTGGTATTAATTTAGTTGCCTCTACACCATGTGTTACGCCTGGACTAAATCCAAATTTACCTGGAATAAATTCTAGTTACAAGTAACTATATTATTCACTAATTTTTAAATTCAAATTAATAAATATATCATATAATACAAATTAATATTTTTGTAGAAATCGAAGGTTAAGCTCTGAATCACGTTATAGTAACTATGGTGGTGTGCTTAAGAATAGAAAAGAAGTGCGACCGTTGACTGAAAAAGACTTTCAACAAACAGCTATACATAAAGTACTAATTAGTTAATTACTAATTTAATATTTCTTTTTATTCTGTCCCACGAGATAACTACTTATTTGCATATTTTGATTATGTGCTGAACTTTGGGTTTTGAATGTGCCAAAATCTAACTTTAAATAAGTGTAAAATAAAGTCCTAAGAAGACTTCACCCAAATTTATTGTCTTTGTCTTACAAGTGCTGAAATGTGTAACATAGCAAATGTATGCTAAGCAGTTCATATTTATTTTAATAGTAGAATTGTGACTATATATTGACCTATTATCAAATATAAAGGTAAGAATATTTTATGTGCTATGTTTTTTTTTTTGATATTTTAATTTTGAAGGGAGTTATAAGCATTTTTAAATTTGTTATATTTTACACACTTATTTATTGCTTGGAAAAACACCACAGACAATCTTGTTACCTTGTAATTTGATAATATTGATACTTAAATCACTTTATTATTTGATACTGATTAAGCTAAACATAAACTGCTAATTGTACATTAGCTATGTCACACATTTTTACGACAGAGACAGCAAATGCGAGTGAGACCTCTTCATAAGGATGATCAATTTTTCTCATGACACTAGGTATAGCTCATTTTATTATTACTTTTTTTATATTTTTGGACTTATTTCTTATTATTTATTTACAATGTATTATCTTTATGTAACATACTTATGTATGTTATATTTGTTAACTTCTGTAATTTTTATAGTATAATATGTAATATAATTAAAATAAGCTTTATTTGATACTATTTAAGTATTTTTGTTTTTAGATTCAAAACTATTTTTTGACTGCTCCTAATGCAAGTCACATTCTGAACAATGGTAGCATGAAGCCAATGACAACTACTATGTTTACTGATATGTGCGAGTATTTATTACATAAGCTAGACCGAAATCAAGTATTAAATAAAAGCAAATACATGGAAGAATTACCCAAAATAATGAAAAAGTACTATTATAAAGGAAAAGTGGATAAATCTTGGCTTATTACTGGTAATATTTAATACTTAATATTTGTTGTTCATTTATATTAAAATTTAAAATAATTTAACTATAAGTCAGATAGTTACACCATTTTTTTGCTTGCGGTGTCTACGGTGTTGCTGGAACTTCTTGAGAATTACTTTGACACCCTCATTACTATACATTTCCATTAAATAAATAACAGATCTTAGCTTTTAATTAATAACTACTTATTCAGATAAGAGCTGTATGTAGTTTAACTAAAGCAGGAATAGTGGCGGCTTATAGTAATGTAATGAATTAATTATTTAATAATTTAATTATTCAATTACTCAATGTCATCTAATTTTCAAAGGAAAAAAAAAATTTGTGTACATTTTTTAAATTAAAACAAGCATATTTGATTATGTTCAGATTATGTTCAGTGTTTGAGTAAATTTATGTTAGTAAAATATAAATTTAGTGCAGTAAATAGTTATAATAGGAACTTGATTAATTATGTCTATGTTTTTTAAGTATAAAGTATAAACCATAATTTTATCATCATTGGTATATCACTAATTTCTATTTATTGAATCTTTAAATATGGATACATTTAAATGATTTATTTTCCTTTTATTAATGTCTGTGTAGTAAATGCTAGCCATTCCTTTCCACAAGTTGTTGGTTTACTTCTTTGGTTAGTAGAATTATGTGAAACTCAAAATCGATTCAATGTAATGGATACATTGTATCCAACAATTCTTGATCCAGACGAGTCTGAAGATGAAGATTATGAACAAACAGTGGAATTTAAGGTATATGTTACAATCTTATTTTAAGTTTTAAAAGTAAACTTAAATAATATTTGAAATCATCTAAAAATGTAATATGTGTAGTCATGCAACTTAAATTGTTTTTTATTAATGTAGTATTTATTTTATTGATTATAGACTTTTATAATTCTAGTTTATATAAAACATTTATTGTTCATTTGATATATTATAAAAATACATTTTTAATAATTTTATATTTAATAATTATAAATTTTGTTTATAGATGTACTTGCCGTTTTTATTAAATTCATATCAAGTTGAGAGTAGAGGATCTAATAAACCAACAGATCAAGAATTCCTGAAGAAACAGGAAGAGCTCTTGCTGGACAATTATAGTGTGTTAATGTTATTCTATCTTATGTTGTAATTGTTATACTATATTCTTTCTTATTTTATTTAGAAAAAACACTTGGTATTGATGAAGAAGCATTGATTAATCTAGAGGCAGAAGTTAATAGTCATAAAGAAGAGCTAGATTCACTAAATGACCTTACTGAAGAACAAAAATTGGAGGTATATAGTTAAATAAATATTATTAATTGTTAATAATAATAATAATAATTTAATCACCTAAAATAGTAATTGTATTTAAAAATTAAAATGACAAAA